ATTGACTCTCTCTCTGTCTCTCTCTCTCTCACACACACACACACACACACACACACACACACACACACACAGACAAGCACCAACCCACGCACCGGCTGGGGGGTGGTTGGTTGAATGATTGGGTTGGTTAGGGAAGGTCACAGCCGGGGGGCGGGTCCTGGCAAATTGGGCAAATCCAGCGTGGGGGAAAACAGAGGTTTGGCAAAATAGCATGGTTAGGGAGGGTCATGGCCGGGGGGTGGGACCTGGACACTGGAGCAGTCCAGACGTCCAGCCGGGCTTGTGTCTGGACTGCTCCAGACCGTCCGGATTGGAAAATCCCCCTTTTTTAATTAAATAAAACGTTTTTATGTTTTTCCTTTGGATTTGGCTACGAATTTCGAGATGGTCCTCGTCCAAACCATTTTCGTATTGCAATGCTGCACAACATATCTTTTTTTTCGGATTCTTTTTTTTTTTTTTTTTCAGCCGGATTTTTTTTTTTTTTTTGGGGGGGGGAATGGATCTGGACACTCTGGACCGGACACCAGACATGGACATCCAGATCCAGACCGTCTGCACTGCGGTCCGGGCGTCCAGATTGTAACCAAGCAAAATAGGTTCGGAGGTGGTGGCAGGGTTAAAAAAAAAATTGACTGCAGGGAAGCCTTCTACAAAGGGCTGCTCGTATCATCTCCTCAAGTGAAACCCTGCCAGGAATTTTGGGGGGAAAAAAGAAAAGAAGAAAAAAAAAGAGTTGAATGATGGCAGAAAGAAAGGGAAAAAAAAGGAAAAAAAAGGAAAAACAAAACGGAAACAGGAAAAAAAAAAGAAAAGAGGGAAAAGTGTGCGCAGTCTGTTGAGGTATGGCTGTCAGCCACTCGACAGATTCGATGGAATCGCTAGCCCGTGATGGCTTGCTCACTTGCAGGGCAAATTAGGCAACCAATTTTTTTTTTTTTTCTTTTTTTCTTTTTTTTTTGTGGGGAGGGGGGCATGGGCGGGCTAAGAACCCCTCGTCTCGCATACGGAACCCTTTTTTTTTTTTTTTTTTTTTTTCAGGGATGCTTCCTTCATTTGTGTGTCATCCTTGTGTGGAAGGGACATGCCATATCTTCTCTGTATCGTCCAAATTTTGACAGGCACAACAAAACAATAAAACAATGAATGTAAAAAAAGAAAAAAAAAAACAATAAATGTTCTTATGATTTACTGTATTCTCCCCGTTTAACAGAAGAACGATGGTTATGGGTTGATAAACTTAGTATGATACAACAAACTTGAATGAAGACATAATTCCGGCCAGATTCATCATAATTATGCCCAGGTGTTTGGGTCCCACCTGACGAAAGGGGGGGTGGGATTTTGTGAGGGCAGGGGGGTTGAGGGGAGAGGAAGGGAGGGGAGAGAGAAGAGGGGGGGGTTGTCGGGGAGGGACGGGGGGGAGGGAAGGAGGTTGGTAGTGGCAAGGGCAAGGGGGTCCTTTTGACTGTCATCAGTCGCTGTTCACGAAAAGCCGGCAGGCTACTTGTACTGAGGTTGAGGCCTGGCTGCAGCAGGACGGCACCCCGTTGTGATGAGGATATGAAACCAGCCTGAACCTCATGCAAAATGCGGACCATGTGCACTTATTCCCACCACACTGACCACAGTCAGGTGCAATTATAGCCCTGTGGTGCCTGGCTAACCCAACCTGCTTTTTCTGCATGCAGACGAGTTTTCAACTGACCTGACGCAACTAGAGCCTTGTGGACCTCCAGGCAAGACTGAACCTGGCGCGAATGTCGGTCAGGTGCGGACAATTCAGGCCTCCTGCAGTCTGGCTAGCATAAACCTGGCCCGTAACCTGGCTGTAGTGCAGAGCAGGTGGGAGCAATTTTGGCCATATGCAAGTTTTCAACTAACCTGACGCAACTAGAGCCTTGTGGGCCTCCAGGGGAGACTGAACCTGGCCCGAATGTCAATCAGGTGCGGACAATTTACGCCTCCTGCAGCCTGGCTAGCATGAACCTGGTCCGTAACCTGGCTGCGTAGTGCAGAGCAGGTGGGAGCATTTTTGGCCATCTGCAACCGGGCTAGCATGAACCTGGACTGTATGGTGACTAGTTGCATTCTAGCCTGCCACAGTTCTGGCTGGTCTTGTGTGGCCTGCCTAGCATGAACTTGATCGTCATGAAGACTAGGAACGTAAAAACGGGTCCACTAATCGTGGTGGTCCACATGAAGACTACCGTCTTCCCTCCCTGAACACGAGGGCACCCTCATTATGACTGTGCCAGACCAGAAACATAGCTTGTATACCGTCATGATGACAGTGCATTTTATAGAGGGGAAGGTGGTACGTTTGTGGACAAGTTCATGTTATAGACTGCTGGGGCCGTGCTGCTGGCCTAATAATGGCGTAGAGCAACCTTGACATCCTGAACCTGGTCCGAATGTAGATCAGGTGCATGCTATTCTGGCACAGTTATATAACCTTCCTTATGCAGTTTGGCATGGACGAACCTGGTCCACAAGCAGATCAGGTTCATGCTAATCTGACACAATTATTCTACACTTGTGAGACCTGGGTAGCCTGAACTTGGCCAAAATCCGGACCAGGTTCATGCTGCCAGTCTAAAAAAACTAGCCTGACCCTGGTCCAAATGGAGACCATGTTCGTGCTTAGTTTGGCACCATCATTGTCCGGCTTCGCTTTGGCGATCTGGCCTATCCCGACAACGAGCAAGATGTTATGCTGCATCGCCCGTCTTCTCCGCTTCTGCCTTCTTTGCTTCTGCCATAGCCATTTTCTCGAACAACTCTGGATCACCGGAGGCCTCCCTCAAGCTTTCCATCTCTGAAATCAGATCCTCGCGCATTTTCTCCAAAGATACCTGAAATATGCAGCTCAAAAAAAAAAAAAAAAAAAAAAAAAAGAGCAGTAGTTCACATCTCACATCCAAAGCCAAAGAAGACGTTCAACACAAGTGTCTTTTGTTGTCCCTCAAAACAGGTCCTTATGGATCTACCTGCATAATAGTCCATATCCATTTTTGTCTTTTACAGAAGTTTTACATGTAACATTTTAACAGCAATTTCTGTCAAAATGGACATATTTTGTTTTTTTTTAACGAAATTGAAAACTAAAAAATTGGCCCGATATAGGTCGATATTTTCAGCTCATGAGGATACGGCGTTCTGACAACACCCTACCCCCAGGATGCAAGTGGAGTCCAGATACATCCAATCCAAGAGGTATGTCGTTTTCAGAATTCCGTACCCCCTGGACTCCAGCTAAGTCCAGGTGCATCCGTGGGTTGCGGCGTTTTAATAAGGATGCCGGACCCTCAAGAGCTTGAGATTTCCACCTAAATCGGGCCAATTTACGAGGTTTCAATTTTGTTCAAAAAATAAAATATGTCCGATTTGACGAAATTGGTGTTATGTGGAGACAAAAAGATTCATGTCATTTACCAAGCAGAAAATCTTCCTTTAAAAAAAAAAAAAAAAAAAAAAAAACCGAAAACGAACAACAAGACAAACAAAAAAGCAAGGCGAGAGATAGAACGAATAAGCAAGAAGGTTATCCTTGGAGACTAGACTGAAAAAAAAAACTTAAAGCGCATCGGCCGCAGGGGGACGCCCGTCCATCGCAAGCCACACGCCGGTCCATCGCAAGCCACACTCTGCCGCAATGCAATACAGAGGCTACACTGGAGGGGTCGAGTAAGCAAGCTTTACCCTTTTGACCCTTCCGTAGCCCCCCAAAAAAAAATGATTTAATATAACTGTGGCCCGATGGAGCGTGGATCAGATATCAAACTGATGAGAACAGAAACCTCACTTGATCTTTTTTCAGCTAAAAGGCCGAGAAAGGTGTTTGAGCGGAGATGTAGTAGACTAGGGGCATCCGCCATGGATGATCGATGAACAAGGAAAAAACTTCAAAAAAAGAGCGAAAAGGGTGGCAGTGGATGGAAGGCGTAGATCTGCGTCTATGGATCCCCCGTGGCCGCGGTCATCGTGGGCACGACCGCGGAGACCGCAGGCCCGTGGTCATGACCGCGGTCCGCGGTCAAGAAAAAAAACAAAAAAAAAAACGAATTCAGAAAAATCTGAAAAAAAAAAAATGTTATGCCAAAAAAAAACTGAACAACTTTTGCCTTGGGGTCATATAAAAAATCGTTACCAAATTTGAGATAAAAAACAAACAAAATCCTTTATTTTTCTTACTAAAAGAATAAAGTAAAGAACTTTTGCCTGAGGGATTTCTATTTTTCATTTTTTTTAAAATCCAAAACGAAGTCAAAAAATAAAACTAAAAATATGCGCTCGTAGACCGCAAAAAAACCTACAACCCCGTTTTTTTTTTTTTTTTCCGCCTATTATCCTAGGAATTAAAAATGTCGGGTTTTTTCGACCGCGGCCCTCGCCCGCAGCCGACCTCGGCGGTCGGGATCCCGACCGCGGGCCAAGATTGACCCCGCGGTCATGACCGCGGGGGATTCATAGATCTGCGTGAATATCTGGTCTGACCGCACCGATTATCCGATTTTCTGTTCGTGTTTATTTGTTTGTTTGTTTGCTGTGTGTCCGGTTTTCGATTCAACGCGGGTTCCGTGATGATTCAACGCACGTTGAATTCGCGTTGAATCCCCGTTTGAACGCGCGTTAGATGCGAATAAACGGGGTCCGCGAACTGGGATTTCGCGCGTTTGGTGGGGGAGTACGGGGTTTCTGAGGGCCTGCGGTGGTAAAGTGGCCTGTTGGGTACCACCTCATGTGCTCAGATTTGTTGTTGTTTTTTTTTTACTTGAAAAAAATAAAAAACCTGCGTGCAGGGCATTTTCGGGTTACCGGGGTTGGGCGGGCTGCTGGGGGGGCCAGGGGGAACGGCTACAAAGAAGGTCGTTTCACTCGGCTGCACTTCATTTGCCGCGCGAGCCCAAAGGCTTCAACACGACAAACGCGGTTTGTCACACGTCCAAAGAGAGAGAGAGAGAGAGAGAGAGAGAGAGAGAGAGAGAGAGAGAGAGAGAGAGAGAGAGAGAGAGAGAGAGAGAGAGAGAGAGAGAGAG